TGTTATTAGCAGTAGCAGCATTAGCAGTGGTGTTATTAGCAGTAGCAGCATTAGCAGTGGTGTTATTAGCAGTAGCAGCATTAGCGGTAGCAGCATTAGCAGTGGTGTTATTAGCGGTAGCATTATTAGCAGTAGCAGCATTAGCGGTAGCACCATTAGCAGTGGTGTTATTAGCGGTAGCATTATTAGCAGTAGCAGCATTACCATTAGCTGTAGTAAGAAATCCTGTAAGTGTTTGACGAGACGTGTCATGAAAACATTTAATCTGATCTTGTTTGTGTCTTCAGGCGTGTTTAAATCAGAAATGTGCCGACGTGTCTGAGTTCGGTGTGGACGAATGTCGCAGGAAGTGCAGCAGTCACGGGGTGAGTGGACAAAGACTCACCTGGAATTTTTTTATTGTTTTATCTTGAGGGAAAAACAAAGAGAAAAATAAAATTATTAATTTTAGAAAGCAGAAAAAAATGTTGATGATTATTTAATTTTTTTCTTAATTTTTTTCCTACTTCCAGTTTAATGTTTTAGTTTTTGTCAGATTTAACAGATTCTTTCAGCAGGAGATCCTTCTTTTTTAACCTTCAGGTTAACTCTGTCTGTCTTTGTCTCCTGGATCCATTTGTTGGTTCTGGCTGAAGTTCTGTAGATCAGCTGGCTCTGCTTTAGGCTCCATCAGGTGATTGTTTGGTGTTTTTGTGTTCCAGGTGTGTAACAGTAATAAAAACTGTCACTGCGATGTGGGCTGGGCTCCACCGGACTGCCGGTACTCAGGTCACGGTGGCAGCGTGGACAGCGGACCGGCCCGAGCCACTGCAGGTATCAGAACCACAGCCAGACGGACTTGTTGTCCCCTCTCTGTGGGTCTGCTCATAATGTCCTGCTTGTGTGTTCAGAGTCCGACCCGGTCCGAGCCGCCCTGCTTGTCATCTTCTTCTTCATCCTGCCTGTGGTCCTCCTCTTCCTCGCGCTGCGGTTCCCTCGTTTCCGTCAGAAGTTCTGCTGTCTGGGACCGAACAGCCCGTTCCATAAAGCCCGGCAGCACAACCGGTAACACAGACTTCACTGCTTTCAGCCAGAGCTCACTTTCAGCAGCTCCCACACAAACTCTTCACTCTTTTTTACCCATGATGCAGTGTGGCTGACTGTGAGATGTGGGGTTTGGAGTTCCAACCCGCCCACGTCTCCAGGTACTGCTGGACCTGCAGGTCCTGGTCTGTAGTCTGTTCCAGTAGAGTCAGAGGAGGGAGGAAACACTTTAAAGGGGTAGTTTGGTTAATTTGAAGAAACTGGATTAAATTAGAGAATAAAAATCTGAACTGTCCCTTTAAATGGTTCTTCACCGGCTGTCGCTCTGACGTCATCAGACCTGCAGAAAACCACCTAAAGCTGCACTGACCCAGACTGTAATCACAAGAGTTTCGTCCTGTACATCAGTGAGACAAGCAGAGGTGGTTTCTGGGTAATGGAGTCCTCAGAGTTTCTGTCCAGTAAAATAAATAGTAATTATTATACCATATAATTATACCATAATATCTGGTTGTTTTGTGTGTGCAGACATTTAGAGGAGGTCTGCAGTGTGTCTTTGTGTTGTTGTTGTTTTGTTTCACCTTCAGCTCGTTTGCGTTTCTTGTAAGTTTATGTTTAAAGTTGAGAAGAACCAAACCAAAAACTTAAATAAAATCTAAAGAAGTAAAAGATTTTTATGACTAAAGCTTAAACCAATCCCATCAGTCATTAATGCCACTCACTCCAACAACAGTTATAAATCAGGAAAGTGTTAAATAATTAATTTTAACACATTAATATTTTCACAATAGTTTGTTTTATTTAAATTTTGTACTCGTTAAAGAACTTTTGTCCTCCAGGACTCCAGTAAGAGAGCGGGCGGACGGCAGGAACGAAGACCAGGTCCGACCTCTGAGATATCACCTAAACCTGCAGCTGGACATCCCCCTGACTCCGCCCCATAAAGAGGTAACCATGGTAACGGCACTGCATTGACTCCTCCCCCACAGCCACGCTCCCATCAGCCCTTTATGAAGAAATCTGTTTTTATTAGAGCATCTTTTTGATTTCTGACTTAATAAATGCAGTTTATATACAATCAAATTAAATACTATAATTAATATAATATATTGTTTATATACATATATATATATATATATATATATATATATATACATATATATATTAGGGCATTAACAGAGTACTCGAGTAATCTACACATCGATTGCTAGGACATCTATCGAGGTTAAAAATGTAACGTCGAGTATCCGTAGTGACGTCATATTATGTGACCACCGTATGACCGTAGGGGGCGGTGTTGCACTGTTGCAGGTCACAGAGTATGGTGTAACACCGGGTCCAATCCACCGAACCAGAACCAGGTTCGGTTTAAGTTTCGTTTTTGACGTGCTGCATGTTTCTTCACGTTTGCAGTTTAATAATAAAAACTAATAGTTTAGATTTTCCTGTGACTTATTTGCAGTATGATAAATGGTAGGAGCATAATATACACTCCCAATGTTCTGTTGGTCTTTTTTTTTTGTAAATAATTACCTTTTTTTGCGGTTTTATTTATTTATTTATTTTTGTATCTTCAGATCTATGACGTCATCAAATACT